ATCTTTTCACTTCAATCTTAATTTACTTTCAATCTGGCCAATTGATTTGTTAAAATATGTTGAGTTTTACAACTAAGGTGAATATTGCATTCAAGATTCAGGGAGGTCAAAGCCCTTGGAAGTTGGGTGCAAATAAATAGGGAAATAAAATCATCGGGCGTAGCATTAGAGATTTTAGAATGACAGACTAAAATTCTCAATTCGTTCTTATCGTTTGGGTGCTGATGTGTAGATGTTAGCCCTCAGGGAGGGGAACTTGGGAGCTCCGAAGTGAGAGCCGGTATCCTCCCAGCCTAACCGCAGAATCAGTAACCAAGTATAAGATTAGTCATTGTTCTTTATGCCTGAACCAAAGGGTAAAGAATATGTATGTTTCTATTTGACACAACACAATTTGAACTGCTTCATTTCATTCATTCACTATATTTTCTTGGCAAGGAGAATGATGCTTTCTTATATATTGAATTTCACATTAGAACTTTACTAGTAGAATTAGTTATTTAAGAGCAATTAAAATTACATATTTATTTCAATTGCCTATAGTGACAGATAAACAATTTGAATTATGTTGTTGTGATTGAGTATTGATTTTTTATAATCCTAGTTCGTAGCCTCTAATATTACTCCATGTGGGATCGATATCTAGGACTCCATTAGAGCCCTGTATTACTTGAGCGATACGTATACTTGCGTTGGTAAGTGTGACTTTAACATTATTGAATATTTTATATATATCTTTATTGAATCTATAACCGTTGTCAAGTTTTTGGTGTCGTTGCTGAGAAATTAAATCTTCTAGCAGCAGTAGTAAATACTTGTATTTTTAAGCATATATAAAGTCGCCGGTCAAGACACAATTTCAGGGTCGGTTAATGGATCACCGATGGATTAGGTTTTGATTAATTTTAAAAATTGATCAGCGGAAGTGTTAGCAAAAGTGTACCTAATGAGCAATGAAAAAGATGAAGTTATTGATCAACTTTGCCTGTAGGAACTAGATATTGATCTTGCCTTGATGATGGCCCTGATCATAACAATGCTTGGAAGCGGGATAGTCACAGTGATGGAAAAAATCAAGATCAATGCCATAGAGAACATTAAAATGAAAACTATGACCACCATAGTCATCAATCTAACGACTTAGATGAAGATTTAAATAGAAAAATTATAGCTGATACATTCACTTTTGATGAAAAAATGTATCCTATGATTTCTTCTAATTGGATAGTGTAAATGGATACCTGCATTGATTGACAAAAGATGTCTTCTTGGTGACAAACAATGTTTGTGAAATTAATAATATCTAGAAAATAAAAATGGTATTAGTGGGTTATTAAGAGATAAAGGGAAAGATTAGGACTAGAATTTATTAATACTTATGTCGGTTAAAGTTATTATTAAAAGAGAATTATTATATTTTATTTTATCTCTCGATTGATTGCTTTACAAATTTAACTCATTGACGCAAGATACAAAAAACTTGACAAAATGCATGACTATTTGATGAATTATTATTTTGTTTTGCAATAGGGGAATATACTAAAATAATGCATTCTATGTTTAAATTTGATTTTAGAATTGACCTTAAAAGAGAAATGACCATACATAACATTCATTATGAGAAGACATTTTAGCTTGCATTAGATTTCGGTGAACCACAATCACATATAATGGAATTGTACTTTTTGCCAAAGCATTTAAAATCAATCAACTGCATTTGCTAAATTCAAAGGGAGTAACATTGCTGTTACCACTGATTCTAAAGAAAAAGAATCTATTACTATTGCGCTTATCTCTAAAATTTTCATTAAAGCTCGACTTAAATATCATCAAACTAGTCATGCTGCTAGTGAAGAGCATCTTATATATTTGAATATTAATGGTGAAAAGAAAGAGAATGGGGAAAATGACGGAAAAGATGTGTATAAATATTACGAGGGGATTAATGATTCAGAGCATATGCATTATGCTTGCATTTGTGATTAAATTCGCTCAAATGTTCCAAAAAAAAAAAGTTTAAGCAAATGCTAACTGTATGGATTCACTTTGAATAACTTAGAATAATCTTAACAGTCTTTTTTTAAGAATTTTTTAATGCCAATTCTGAAACATTTATTCCCTTCATCTTGCCTGAAAAGAAATTTTCTGATGACATAGCTTCAACTTATTTTTTTGTTACCAGATTTCTATTCAGTTATGTCAGATGGCAGTGCAACTGATTCTGATGTGGACATTGAAAGTCAAGGAGTAGATGGAGAAACTGATGATGATGATGGAATTTATTTTGACACAAGGGATTACTTGTCTTCAGAATTTTTAAGAAGTGCTTCATATCGTAGTCAGGAATCCAAATCTAATGGAGGCCTTGATGTAAATGGAAACACGTTTTATGTTCCTGCTATGATTCAAGCTAATGATGAAAGAATAAAAACCATAGAATACCCCTTTGTTAAGAGGAGGGACAAGTTGCCAGAGCCAAAAGAAAAGGAGAAGCCTGTTGGTCTCTGGTCGATTATTAAAGAAAATATTGGAAAAGATCTTTCTGGAGTTTGCCTTCCAGTATACTTCAATGAGCCACTTTCTTCTTTACAAAAATGCTTTGAAGATTTGGAATACTCGTTCTTAGTTGATCGAGCAATGGAATGGGGAGAGCAGGTTTTTATTCTTACTCACATAGTTTCTATGGTTGTCCCTTGTTTCTTCTCAGCTGTTATTTAGATTGGTTAAGATCATGATCTTGCCATTTTCTTTTCTGAAGATTTTGATACATACCACTCAATTCTTATGCATATACATATCTAACGCCTAAACTTTATTTCTTACATACATGCAACCTTTCATATGCATGAAAAGGTGTATTTCTCTTTTAGGAGTTAAAGTGAGGCATTTTTGATGTGATATGAAAAGTTGGGGTGGTATAAGTAAAAATTAATGTTTGTGTGTTAGATATGTAAATATATAAGAATTGGGTGCTATGTATTGTTGACCATGAAATATTTAAAAAAATATATAAAAAAAGAAAAAAAAAGAAATTAAGTTAATTAATTACTTACTTATCTGCTCCTGCCAAAGATGCCCACTTAAATGAGATAACTTTTCACTTGCTCTCCTCCTCAGTTACAAATTGACGAACCTAAGTCCGACTGCCTCATTCACATTGTTTCTGTCATTCCCCGCTACTTTCATATTGTATATTGGAAACAACATGAAATCCCCCTATTCACGCAACCGAAACCCTTCGTCATCTCCGGTTCAAAGCCCATGCAATGAAATCACATGTCACAATTCCTCTCCACTCTTTTTCTTCCTCTGTTCACAAAGTCACAAACCTTTTTCCCTATGTCGTTGGCTTCGTCCTCCACTCTATCCTGTCAGTGCAACCAAACCGTGTGATTAATCAGCCCACGTTGGATCTTTGCCAAAATCCTTGTCGTTGCCTTCTCCCGTATTGTTTCCCCAAAATCCACTTCTTTCTTCGTTGCTTTTCTCTCCTCCAAGCTGCACATTCGTCTTTGTCCGCACTTTCCTTGACACAATTCAGACGCTTTGTTCATTTCCCTCACGCACGAAGAGATCGCAACCAATCCTTGTGTCATCGTCCCTTTCGTCAACCTCATCCCCGAGAAGCCCTTTCCACACCTTTGCAGACCTTACTTCCTTAGCCTTGTACCGACCTGCTTTGCACTAACCCGCTTTTTCAGCCTCCTTGCTCAGTCCTTCACGCGACCATAGGTGGAATGCCTTACATGTTGGAAGAACTAGCGGTAACCTCCTACTTGGAATTGCACACAACTGAAGCCGCTCCCATTCCCATTGATCTTCCCTAGTGCTCACGCCCGCTCTGTTCGCCTTTTCTCACGGCCAACTCTCCTATTCTTCTTGTTTGAAGAGCTCTTCTTGAATGCCTCCCCCAAGCGACCCTTTGCCCTAGCCCACTCTTTTGTTCGAAGCCACATGATCCCAAAACCCCCCCTTCTTCCCAGTCACATGAAGGAGCTTTGCTTGCTAAACTAGAGACACTTCTCCCTTGTGTGCTCCTTCCTATTGTAAACCGAAGCCTCTTGCTACTATGCCTCAAGCCTGATCCTAAAAATTAAGTCTCCAGCCACATACCCGAGCTCGACCTTTTAAAATCTCTGCCCTACCTAAGGCTTTTCTGCACTTCTTTTTTGCACATTTTTAATGTTTATTTTTTTAAGTTGTGTTGTGTATTGTTTTAAAAAAAAAATTGTATTTGTTTATTCCGTTATTTCATTTTCGTCGTCGGCAACACTATCAGAGCTTGAAAGGTATAATAAAATGGGGGATAGGGAAATTTTTGAAAAAAATCCACTTGAGGAAGCACGAGTAACAGTTTGTGATAATTAAGTATCGTTCTGGGAAAATCATGGAGTCATTTGAAAAACCTTTTTAATATTGGATTTTAAAATGCACGTATGTGGGAAAAGCGAGTACCTGCCCGTGAGAATTAAGTATCATTAGAGAAAAATAAAGTACCTTTCGTAGAATGCTTGTTTGCAATTTGACATTTTCTGCATATATATTGAAAGTTTGTTCTGTCTCTTGAGATCGCGAGATAAATGTTCTGTTTTGTTCTCTGACTGCATGTCGGTCAACTTTTTCGATAGATTTGAAAATATGGATATGAAAATAATTTTTGAAATTTAATTTAAGTGTAAAATATATATAGTTTGAGTTTTAAAAGTAGTATGTTTTAATTTTTGAAAAATGAGACCAAGTGGATTTCATTCGTCCAATAGTTTGCATAATTGTGCCTGATACGGCGAATACTACACCCTCCCGAAAGATAAGTGTAGACCTCGGCGATAGACCCAATCCTGCAAACTAAGAGATTTGTGACATTCGTTTAGTTTGCGAATATTTTATATATGACCGACAAGTTCCCCTATTTAATACAAAGATTAAATAAGGTTTATTTTATCTGGGTTCCAAGTTCCCTTTAGAGGCAAACCCCTATAGTTAATTACATCCCAAATGACGGGAGTCACTTAAGAAAACTCTGGATAATGATCAATGGTTCTAGTCTTCAAGAATTCAAGGTTCAGGTTTTCAAGGTAAGATGAGGAAAATCAAGTGAGAATGACTCAATGCAGAACACTTATTTTCAGGAGTCCAAAGAAAGGAGAGGGTAGGGGATGTCACTGATCCGAGGTAAATCTCGATGACTTCCCAGACTATCCTACGGTGTGACTATATTTTTAGAGAAGATGTTATTTGAATGTTCAATCCTGCCAATTTTATTATTTAGGACTTATATTTGCATAATACCCGATTATGCAAATAACCCGAGGAGATAAGAGGGTTTATGTCGTGTCACACGACAACCTCGGAATCTAAGGCGGGTTAGGACTTACGCTGCACAACATGGTTGTACAAGAGGCTAAAAAAGGAGTGAGATTCAATCCTGCCAATTTTATTATTTAGGACTTATATTTGCATAATACCCGATTATGCAAATAACCCGAGGAGATAAGAGGGTTTATGTCGTGTCACACGACAACCTCGGAATCTAAGGCGGGTTAGGACTTACGCTGCACAACATGGTTGTACAAGAGACTAAAAAGGGAGTCAGGATTTACGTCGCGCTAGGCAAGCTGCCTCGAAGACCTATGTGTTGTTATTATGCTAGGAAAAGATAATGCTGAAGAAGATCCTCTTGCTGCTCGGTTTGAGTTCCTCGTTGTGCTGCCCACAAAGTTGGCTCCAAGCTCCTATTGTCGCGATGACTCCAGGGTTTAAGTGTTTGAGATTAGTGATTTACATTTCACAGTTTTGGTGTCAATGTTTGATTTTGTTTTATTTTGATTTTGGTTTTGCATGAAGAATAAACAAATCGCAGGTAAATAAAAGGTACTTGAAATGTAAAATGCAATAAAATAAAATGCTGTAGATAAATTGTAAAA